ATCACTATTATGCCAGTAAATTTGCATGTAGGGTTGTTTCTTGATTACATGTGTGCGCTCGCGCTCTCTCTCTCTCTCTCTCTCTGTGTGTGTGTGTGTGTGTGTGTGTGAGAGAGAGAGAGAGAGAGAGAGAGAGAGAGAGATTTTCTTTGTAGATTGGATTTCCTGGCAATTTCTAGATTCCAGATGTTCTAGATTGTCCCACCCTCAATATACATAAAGGTAAAGGGACCCCTGACCATTAGGTCCAGTCGTGACCGACTGTGGGGTTGTGGCGCTCATCTCACTTTATTGGCCGAGGGAGCCAGCGTACAGCTTCCGGGTCATGTGGCCAGCATGACTAAGCCGCGTCTTGCAAAGCAGCGCAGCGCACGGAAACGCTGTTTACCTTCCCGCTGGAGCGGTACCTATTTATCTACTTGCACTTTGATGTGCTTTCAAACTGCTAGGTTGGCAGGATCTGGAACCGAGCAACGGGAGCTCACCCAGTTGTGGGGATTCAAACCGCCGACCTTCTGATCGGCAAGCCCTAGGCTCTGTGGTTTAACCCACAGCACCACCCGCGTCCCTTCTCAATATACATACCATCAAGCAAAACACCAACCAATTATTACAAACATGCCTGCATCCCAAGGCAATCAGGATGCCTTTCTTTGGGACCCCTGCTGCTGTGACAGCATTTTCTACCGCAATACATAATCAAATGCAAGGTACATTTTTGTTCTCCAACCTAGATGCAGATACACTAGAACAGCGTGCATTTCTCTTGCGACTAGTAGGCTGTCTTTAGCAAACTGCTGCCCAGTATTACTAAGGGATTGCAAAAGCATCGTAACAGACACTCTTTTACCGGTAAGTTGGCAATTCCCAAACTATAAACTAGGGCGTGCTTATATGAAATTAAAGGTTTCTGCCACTTTCCAATCAGTCACCTGTCAGGTCAAGTAATTCTGTTGTACTGCTGCACGAGGAATAATTCAGTCATACTTGGTGCTGAGATGCACTGGTCGCCTCACTTTGAATGCCTGCGATTCCTCCAGCGTGCCTTCAATTTTTATTTAGAAAAGTGGGCCACTACTGGATGCGATTCAGGAGACCCATGCTGAGCATCTCCTGTGATTTAAAAAATAATCAGAAGCCACCCAGAGAGGGGCCAAAGAAGACTGGGATCACGGCATTTGGATGTAACCCTTTCGCATCACACCGTAGTCCTCCATTAAAATCCTCTCCCCAGTGAAGCTGCTATTTGCCCCATGAGGAAAACTTGCAGGTATCATGGGGTAAATAGCAGCTGCAGGAATTCTCATTTTTGAATTGTATAAGACAGCAGGCACCGTATGCCTGTAATGCTGCTCAAAATAATAAGACCTTCAAATTCCACAGCCAAAGCCCAGGGTTTTGCTATTCAAGAATAAGTAAGAGCTAATTGGAGCCAGTTTTGGCACCAGATCTCTGCACTCCCCCAGAAGAAGTCCTCCTCAGTGGCAAATGAACAAGCAATGCCTGAGACAGCTAATTCTAGGAAGTCAAAGGCTAATCTGAAGCAATGTTGAGCTAAAGCAGCACCCTTTGCATCAGAAGCTCCAACTATGTCAGGAGAAAAAGGGACAAGATTTCACTAAACCTTTAATCTGCTATAAAAGGACACTATATAAGTCTAGTCAAGAGTGCCTCAAGCATAGTAATTCAGCCTCCAGTATCAGCGACGACCAAAACTCAGTTGCTAGGCTATGTACATATAGTCTACTCTACCTTGTTGAGCAAGATTCAAAAAGCTTAATATTTCAGATGTACGGTTCTACATTTCTCTCTGTACTGTTATTTGCAGTAGGCCATCATTGTGCAGCACCCCACTGGAAAGACTGGGTGCGCTGCATCACAATCCTGGATTTGCATAAAGTCTGGGAGGGGGAGGGGAACAAAAAAAGGAAGGTTGAATAAGGTAAAAAAAGCCTGTGACATGGAAGCCAGAAGGGACAGACACTGAACTATCGTATTTTAATATTTGTTGGAAGCTGCCCAGAGTGGGCTGGGGAAACACAGCCAGATGGGCGGGGTATAAATAATAAATTATTATTATATTATTATTATTATTATTATTATTATTATTATTATACTACTACTACTACTACTACTACTACGAAAGGGAAAAAGTAGTGGCAAGGTAATGGGAGAGGTCTGAATACCCCAGGAAGGGATGAACACTGGGGGGGGGGGCGTCTTTAAACAGAAATGAAAAAAATGTTTAAGTGGAGTTTAAGTACAACACAAAGTCAAAAGCCTTTCTCAACTCCCTTCTCACTCTACCCAAATGTTGCTTAAACCTCTGCTTTTTCCTCTGTCTCTCCCTGCATTCCTAGACAAAGACAGGGCAATTTTTTGTCCAGTGGGTGAGGAGGGTCCCAGCTCATTAACATGTACAGTGTGGGTGGGTGGATGTGTTTTCTTGGTTCATTTCAGTTTGTAAAAGCAGCAACCACCTTATTTCATTCAGAAAATTAGGAGTGTAAGTATTATTACAAGAAAATGCAAGAAATTCCTTCCCAATTACTGTTCCCATTTCTGCTTTCTCTGGAAGAAATATTCATCGTAAGGTCCTAAACCACTGTACTCATTTCTAAAAACGTGTAGCAAGAAGCTTTAATTTTAATCCCTGTTTGCACATTTAATATAGTTTCAGGGAAATGCAACTATAGCCAAATTATTTTAAACCATCGTTGACTTGCAAACCACATCTGCTCTGTTGTTTGATCACTTTTCAAGAAACTGGTGCCAATTAAGCCCTCCTGTTTTCCTATCTCTTCTACAGCGAGTCCTGCCAGAGTCTACATGGAAGACGTAAGAACCCAAATCATCTTTTGTCTCTCTCTTTTCTCTTTCCCCCCTCTTTGTGGGCATCTGCCTTTCATCTAGATGTAAGATATTTGTATTTTTTTACTGCATTTTTTCCAGTGTATATTTGAACCTGAAGTGGTTTGGCTTGGTTGATTTCAGTGGGTTTTGGGTGTGTGATAAGGGCATAAACTGTGTGTTTTGGGAAACAGGGCAGGCAGCAAAAGCCAGTCCCAGCACCAATACCAGTCTTCCTCACTGAGTGGCAGGGTCCAAAGGGAGCTTCTAAGAGCTTAAATGAAGCCTCCCTGTTATTGGAAAAGCTGCAATACCAGAGTTCTTGATCCCAGAGAGGCTTCTAAGCACAATCAGTCAAAAGCGTTTGGAGGCCCCATTCAGACTAGTTCAGTGCAGGGAGATTGGAGAGATCAGCTGAGGCCAACATAGTTTATGCCAGGGGCTGCGATGATGGGCTTCATGCAGCATCTCAGCCTCCCCTCCTCGCTTTCTTCCATTGGTCATGCAGTGGTTAGCATGGTGAGTTTCTGCTCCCTTGGAACTGAAGGCAAAGTTAGATGACTGATGCTCTTCTTCACTTTCTGTTTCAGCTCTACATGCTTTTAAAAGCTGATTAATTCCACTGGAACTAGATCCTTTGGAAAAGTGAAGTATGTCCAAATGCTTTCTCTCTCTGTTTCTCCAGGGAGTGGGGTGGCCCTGATCTAGTCAAGGGGAGATAAGTTATGAGAGGTGGGGACACCCAAAGTAAAGGAAAAGGGACCCCTGACCGGGAGGTCCAGTTGCGGACGACTCTGGGGTTGCGTGCTCATCTCACTCTATTTGTCTGCAGACAGCTTCCGGGTCATGTGGCCAGCATGACTAAGCCGCTTCTGGCGAACCAGAGCAGCGCACGGAAACGCCGTTTACCTTCCCGCTGGAGCAGTACCTAGTTATCTACTTGCACTTTGACATGCTTTCAAACTGCTAGGTTGGCAGGAGCAGGGACCGAGCAACGGGAGCTCACCCCATTGTGGGTATTCGAACCGCCGACCTTCTGATCGACAAGCCCTAGGCTCTGTGGTTTAGACCACAGCGCCACCTGCATGACACCCATGGCACTCCCTAAAAAATCCAAATGGGCCCACAGTTCAAAAACGGTTGACAACCCTTATACTAAACCATGGTTTAGAGTTTCGTGTGAACCAACCCCTTATAATCTAATAACATAGTAAAATACCACTGCAAGTTTGAAGCTAACCAGCAGGACCACTTAGTAGCATTTTAAAACACATTATGTTGTAGACTTACATAGCATAGCATGTTTAGCAGCAGATAAAAAGTGTGTCATTAAACTGTCTGAGCTTTTGTTTTTTTTATTATTTGCAAGCCTGAAAAAAATTATGCCATTAAAGCATCCAGGGGGGAACTGTTCAGTCCTGTCCATGACAGTTTCATTTAATCTAAAACACATCTATCAATTTCATTATAGCAATTTGCCATATCAGTACCAAAGAAATGAATATGAAATGATTGTGTTATCTCACAACTTATAGATGCACAAAACCAGTCTGTAGCCACCCGCTGATCAAGTGCTAAAACTATTTTACAACTAATTTTCAAATTTATGCACATATAAATTTCCTCTTCCTTAAAATTGCAGACTTGTGGAGTGCCTCCCAATAGTCTTTGTTTTTAGTACATTGCAGTAGCAAGAAAATTCACATTTTATCAAAGAAGAGGCACAGGGGTCCTTAACCCATTTGTAACCCAAAATTTCCCCTGATCTCTTCACAAAAGGACCTTTCATGTACCATCCCCACCACTGGAAGAAAAACTGTCTGGAAGTGTTTTTGATCAGGAAAGCAGCCTATAACTGGAAAGGCTAAGCACCCCTACCTTGTGTCACTGCTCCAATTAAATTCAGAGCTTTCCAAGGCTAAAGGCAAAGCAAAAATAATCAGAACAGCATATACGTGTCACTTATATTTTGCCCTGGACTCTGGTTTAGGAAAACAACAACAATGAACAAACCCAAACCCTTCCAAAAATTCCAATATTATTTTAAAGATTAAGCGTTCAATCCAGGTAGTTGAATTTAGTTCCCCTTGAAAACAACAGAACTCAAGTTAAACTGTCTTAGCTTGGATCCAATCCAATGAAATAATTACCAGTGTTTTCCATACAGCCAGTTTCCTCCCCAGGTGAGCAGGCAGGCCCCAGCAGTGGTCTTCTTCCAGTGATTTCTGAGTGTGTGAAACATTTTGATAACCTTGGCCATGTTTATGTTTTACTCTGCAGCAGACCTTACAGGGGACTCTGATGCAAAGAAACAGCATGGAAGAGCATCTGTGTGGTAAACAGTAAATAAAAGATGAATATCACCTGAGACAAGGAAATGGTTGCAATGTTCACTAAACATCTATTTCTTTCCTGTTAATAAAATAATGGCAGGAAATATTAAAGGATGAGAAAAATGCCTCCCTGAGTTTAACTTGATGCTACTTCTACACTTTGGAACTGCCAATTACATGTCAGATAAGTGCCGTCTCTATTGTCTCCAATACTGAAAACCTGGCTTTTTTCAACAAGCCTTTTAACTGTGGATCTTTGTCCCAGATTATATCTGTACTGGATTTGAATTTTTAAAAAAATATTTAAAAATATGGAATCCCTTCTCTCTCTCTGTGCGTGTGTGTGTGTTCCTCCAAACACTGAAGCTCCATTTAGCTATCAAGTTTAGCGTTAACAAACATGCTTCTCCACAATAGAGATTGCCACCTTTCATTTTCAAAGATTCTAGCAGTTCAGGCTAAATGACTCGGAAATATACATATACAGTGGTACCTCGGGTTACATACGCTTCAGGTTACATGCGCTTCAGATTACACACTCCGCTAACCTAGAAATAGTGCTTCAGGTTAAGAACTTTGCTTCAGGATAAGAACAGAAATTGGGCGCGGTGGCAGCAGGAGGCCCCATTAGCTAAAGTGGTGCTTCAGGTTAAGGACAGTTTCAGGTTAAGTACGGACCTCTGGAACGAATTAAGTACTTAACCCGAGGTACCACTGTACACATACATAAAAGAACCTTTTGGCACCATATCTAAATTTGTCTGTGCGTGTGCCAAGTGGCTTTCCCTTAAAACAGGAAACATTTTGTTTGTTTGTTTCAAATCAGTATCAACGAGAGAGGTTATGTGAACAGAATGTTCCTCCCTTGGAGGCTACTGGTTTTCTTTAAAACACACACATACATTATGGAAAGTTAAAATTACTGACACTCCCCCCCCCAAAAAAAATCAAAGTATTATTATTATTCTGTTTAGAGACATCACATTTCCCCTAGCTTTCTGACATGCAACATATTTTACGGATGGGCCCCTGTGGCAACTAGCAACGAGGCTGAAATTATGGTCAGGAAGCAATTCCATCTGCAGTTTTTCTGCCCTGCATTTTTTGAACCTCTGATCATTGCACCCTAGGAACAAGGAAAGCTGCTTTTATACCAACATGCTTGACATGGTCTATGCCAGTGAGTGGGCAACCTGTGGCTCTCCATCTGTTGTTGGGACTTTCACCTGCCCTGACCATGGGCGATGCTGCCTGGGGCTGGACTAATGACCCTTGTGCTTCCCTTCCAACTCCACGATTCCATGATGACGCAGATTGCCGTCCACAAAGGCTTGCACCACAATAAACCGCCTCGTCTTTAAGGGTCTGCAGAAATAGTCACAGACATGGCAGTTCTGCCCTGCCTATCTAGCAGCGTTGCTGCTGCCAAGATCATTTTTTGTTTTGTTTGTGGTTATACTTTTCAAGTTTATACATTTCACTAATTTTAACAATCATTTTGACATTTCAAAACTTGACTTCCTCCCCCTTTCTGCAGTTCCTTAAATTTGTTTTTAATATCTTCTGCATATCCAAATAAACTTAATTTACTCCTTCATTCATCTTCTTTAAATATAAAGCTCTTATAAAACTACAGGTTATTACAATAACCCTGCCAATGCTTTTATTTGTTTATAATTTATCTGTACATATTCAATAAGCCATTTTAACATTCTTTTGTAACAAAATAATGTTATCTTGATTTCTTCTTCTTCTGGTAAGTTTTGCCATTTCTGCATATTCCAAAATGCCATGATCATTTTTTGAAAGAAAAGGGGACACCCAGGGCTGGATTTTATGTTAGCTGCTCTGAGCACGGACATGGCTGGGGAGGGCGGGATACAAATTAAAAAATATTATTATTATTAAGGTTTGATGAGGCCCATAGCTACTGGAAGTAATGAGGCCCTTTATATGTCCAGCTGTCAACGACAAATTGCCGCTGTTTTTGTGTTGAATATATGCTATATGGTAATCTGTGGACCTAATAGGTATCTAAAGCCATTTGCCACTGTTGCTGTATGTAGGATTTATTTTCTTTTTTATCTCAAATTTTGGAAATATACATCGTTTTTTCGTTTCCTTTAAATTTTTTGGTCGCCCCCAAGAGAGCGGGGCCCTAAACTATAGCTTGTTTAGCTGATACGTAAATCCACCCGCACCCAAACGCCCCGAGCGTTTGTAGGAAAGGCAGGACACGAGGGAAACGCGGGTCCTCGGCTGACTTTTGAAACGTGCGGCCTCACCTGACGCGTGGAGGCGCCTCTCGCCGCCTGCCGGCTAGCCTGCCTCCGCTCCGCGGCCCCCGCGCTCCCTTCTGGCTCCTCCTTCTCCGCCAGGGCCGAGGCTGCCGCAAGCAAAGAGAAGTAGGAGGTCTCCGTCTCCCTCTCGCAGCCTCTCCCGGGCAGAAGCCTCCCGCTTCCGGGCGCCGCGCGGCTCCTTTCCCGCCGCCTCCCGCGGAAACAGTGAGCCGCCTCGCCTTGGTTCCGCGCGGGCCGCTTCCCCCAGAGAAAAGGCGCCGTCCTGAACGGAGGCGGCGCGGAGAGAGGACTGTTCATAAGTACAGCGCGCGCGCACGCACACACACACGACGAGAAATGGCCTGGGAACCTCTTTTGCTCCCCACGTCGGGATCCTGTCACTGGTAGATCTGTGGGTGGTTCGGGGTTGATCGCAGGCTCCCGATGGTTTCATTCATTCATGTGTGTACAGTGCCGGATTTACGTATAAGTGAAACAAGCTATAGCTTAGGCCCTAGGGCCCCGCTCTCTTGGGGGCCCCCAAAAATTTAAAGGAAATTTAAAGGGGGGAATGGATGTACATTTTCCAAAAAAAGAAATAAAATAAAATAAAACCTACATACAGCAACAGTGTTTTGTGTTGTGCAGGCTCCTATAGTAATGGGCCCCGCCTGCTAGCCTGCTCCCTAAAATACTTCTTAATTGTATTTCAGTTCAAGAATTACTTTGATAAAATACATATTTTGTTATGTGCAAATGGCTTTAGATACCTATTAGGTCCATAAATTACCATATAGCATATATTCAACACAAAAAACAGCAACAATTTGTTGACGAAGGACAGCTGGACATATAAAGGGCCCCATTACCTTCAGTAGCTTAGGGCCTCATCAAACCTAAATCCAGCCCTGTGTGTATTGAATTTTCTGTTTTACAATTTAAAATATATTTTAACATCCTTAAGATAGCAACGACTTCCCTTCTTCTCTTTCCATGAACATATCATAAATCCCTGCATATTTTACAAAAACTAAACCATTCAGTATTCCCTTACTGCATCGACCCAAACTTATTTACACTGTTGAATTTATCTCAATGCTGCCAACGTTTTCAGCTGTACACAATTGTTTCCCGTATATTCAATGAACGTTTTCCAATCTTTTCTGATGGTTTCACAAGAGCAGCAGCAACAACAACTGTAAAAAGGCTTGCCCGTCCACACCTGGGATGAAGGAGGCTAACCTGTGTGAAAAGGAAGGACGAGGAGATCGGCTCAGTTCTGGTTCTGCAAAACAAAACTCCTAGGTTCAGAATGGGTTCAGAGGCAACCTTGTATTCTAGGGCTGTATGTCTTTCGCACCTGGCTCTGGCTGGGTGCTGTTAAGGTTTTAGGTAAAAAGCAAAATGGATCCCACAATCCTAAAGGTTTCCTACCCCTGATCTACACTATCATGTTATTACTATCCTTACTCCTGCTGCTAATAAATTTATATGCATATTTCATTACAGTATTTGTGTTCCCATCTTTCCTCAGGGTGGTTTGCAACAAATATTAAAGCAAGAGCCTGCTGGATCAGGCCAGCGGCCCATCTAGTCCTGCATCCTTTGTGTTATTGTTGTTTAGTCGTTTAGTCGTGTCCGACTCTTCGTGACCCCATGGACCAGAGCATGCCAGGCACTCCTGTCTTCCACTACCTCCCACAGTTTGGTCAAACTCATGCTGGTAGCTTCGAGAACACTATCCAACCATCTCGTCCTCTGTCGTCCCCTTCTCCTTGTGCCCTCCATCTTTCCCAACATCAAGTTCTTTTCCAGGGAGTCTTCTCTTTTCATGAGGTGGCCAAAGTATTGGAGTCTCAGCTTCACGATCTGTCCTTCCAGTGAGCACTCAGGGCTGATTTCCTTCAGAATGGATAGGTTTGATCTTCTTGCAGTCCATGGGACTCTCAAGAGTCTCCTCCAGCACCATAATTCAAAAGCATCAATTCTGCATCCTTTAAAGACCTTTAAAGCCCTATGTGGCCTAGGACCCACGTACCTATGGGACTGCCTCTCCTGGTATGCCCCGTGGAGGACCTTAAGGTCCACAAATAATAACATTTTGGAGGTCCCAGGTCGCAAGGTGGTTAGATAGGTCTCAATTAGGGACCTTAGCAGAAGGCCTCTCCCCACCCCTGCAGTTCCCATCAACTCGTATTCAGAATCATGGCCACCTCTGACCGTGGAGGCAGAGCAAAGCCATCATGGTTAGTAGCCATTGGTAGCCTTCTCCTCCATGTTTTCATCCAATCCTCTTTTAAAACCACAGAAATGAGTGTTGCCTGCTGTGAGAGCCAGTTCTGTAGTTTAGCTACGCACTGCATGAAGGAGGACTTTCTTTTCTGTGCCCTGAATCCATCAGGGATGAGGGATGCTCAACAAACTCAGGGGGTCGGGATGGATGTTAAATAGACAGGTCATCTGTGAAACATGACCTTCCAAATAGAACGATCATAGAAGACAGCTCCTCAGCTGGTGTATCTCGGATGACTTCAATGTCTTAATATTTTTTACAGCAGATAAGACTAGTCCAAACCTACCAGGTGCACTGCATCCATTCAAACTAATGAACAGCTGCAACTGACTTCATTATTGTCTTATTACCCATCTAGGCTTATATGACCCAATGTAGCATTTCTTGTTGAATCCCTCGTGGCAAAACTACTTGGCTTATTTTTAGTTGTTGGGTTTTTGGGGTTGTTGTGTGTGTGTGTGTTTTTGCTCTGGACATCTGGTCACCCTAGAGGCAAAACCTACCTGCTGTATCTCTCCATGTTCCAGATACTTCTTTCCAACTTGTTCTGCTGTTTTCGTTTCAGATATTGAGTGGGAGTGATTAGCGAAGCAGCGTGGGACCAGGAAACATAAAAAGAGAGTTGTTCAAAGGACCCCTCTGATTTCTGTGCTGCAGTCTTATTTAAAGGCCAAGGGAAATTACCTTGCATATGTGATTCTTTTGAGAATCTAGTTTGGAAATTGCTGGAAATAAGTATTTTGTTATCAGCTGATGACAAGAGGTTAAATAAGTGGAAGTGGGAGAGGGTCAGTCTTTGGAGCCTACATGGACTCATGCTTCATCGTGGAAATACAATTTAGGATAATTTTCCCCCATTAATTTTTTTAGAGACTTACAGAGGAATTATTACTGTAAGGGTAACTTTTATTAACAATTGAGAATCTAAATCCTCCTTTATCATGAGCGTATATGCTCCTTATGATCTCTGTTTTGTTTTGCTTTAATCATTCCTTTTTCCTGTCTTCTTTTTAAATGTATTTGTATTTTATAATGTATTATAGTCTAGGGGAAATTGTTTTTATATCACTTGACTATGCTGAATGTATGAAGTGGCCTTAACTGTGTGCTGGGGGTAGGGTCTAAACTGTGTATAGTACAGTGGTACCTCAGGTTACAGACGCTTCAGGTTACAGACTCCACTAACCCAGAATAATGCTTCAGGTTAAGAACTTTGCTTCAGGTTGAGAACAGAAATCGTGCTCAGCAGCAGCAGCAGCAGCAGCAGGAGGCCCCATTAGCTAAAGTGGTGCTTCAGGTTAAGAACAGTTTCAGGTTAAGTATGGACCTCCGGAACGAATTAAGTACTTAACCCGAGGTACCACTGTACTTCATTGAACTTGGCCTAGCACAGCTAAAGAATCCCCTCTTTCGTGTCTCACTTGGCCTATCAACCACTGCAGATTTTTAGTTGCTTAAATCATTACTTTTTAAACCAGTCAATTTCAATTTCAGCAGAGCTGCATACTGTTAAAAAACAACAACCAACCCCAATCCTTGATCATTCCCAAGATAATGAAGGCATGTGAGGGATCCCTCCCCCATTCATCTTAAAATGTACATTAATCTTGAATATGTCAGTGAAAATGTTGCAGTAAGACATGCCCAATCTCAAAATGTCTTTTGTTTTGTTTTTCTAAGCAAAGCAGGCAAGCTTTCCTTCAGTCTCTCAGCTCCATCAATTAAACGTGCTTTTTGTCGATTAAAATTTGCTCCTGATTAATCAGCTAAAGCTTGGGTTGACTAATTTGCCAATTAAGCCTCCGAAAACTTGCAGGCTTTGGTGTTAATTATAATGATTTGCTGGCTGGTGTGAAAGATGTGTTTCTGTTTGGTCCTAGCAGAAAAAAGCCCCCCGAGCTCTTTTGCCTCGTTGAGTCTCTCCTGGTAAGGTGGACCTACCTGCCGCTAGATGGCTCTCTAGCTCAGGCTGTCATGGAAGGCTTGGCTGCTCCTGGTCTTGCTAAGCATGCTCATTTGGTTGAGCAGAACTACCTTTGCAATGGTGTCGGCTGCTGCACACAGCTGGATTCCAGCCACCCAAAGACACACAAGAACTCTTGAATTCTCCCTTGGCCTTTCCTGTATACAGCGTCTTCTCTTCTCCTCCAGATATTGTTGATTTGTATGTGTGGCCGTGTTGCATTGCTATTCCCTCCTTCCTCGCTGACCATTTCTAAATCCTAATGCCAGGGGAAGTGGCAGCGTGAGGTCACACCCGCACCAAATATTTATAGCACATGGCTTGCCACCAAGAATCCTGGGAACTGTAGTTTGTAAAGGGCGCTGTGAAGGATGAGCTACAGGAATGTGGAAGCTGGCACCTGGGCGTCAAATGTGGGCCCCCTCCAAGTCAAGCCAGGGTTGGGATTCTTTTCTAGCCTAGCAGGCCAGATTGGTTTCTTTGCCCACCTTGCCCAGGCCAAGTTCGACCCAAGGACCTCAGGTGACCTTTGTTAACAGAGAAATTCCTGCAACACCTTTATTTGCCCAGGGGACTTCAGAAACACCTTTCAGAGTGCAGCCCAGCGCCTTGAAAGAGGCTTCTAAAGAGCCAGCAGTCACCTGCTGGTTATTAGATCTTCGGTTTGTTACGGAAATTACGGGGGTGGGGGGTGGGGCACATCTTTAAATTGTAAATGTTACAAATATTATTCATAAATGTATCCCTTTGACTTGACAGCTCAGGGAAGTTACCTAGCTTTAAAAATCATATAAAATCAACTCCTTTGCCAGTTTCCTTCATTCCACCGCCAATTTGCTACATTGGCCAAGGACTTGGAAACCACTTGGTCCCCACCATAATCCCTCAAGTGGGAGGTCATGTATTCACAGGAAGGTGCTCATAGGTGTCAATCGCTGGGCATAGGCACTCCTCCGGACTTGCCCAGGTGCAAACCAAAGTTCTATTGTCCTCTTGTAATAGGTGCTTAGAATGTACTTCCCAATACATATCCTGTATCCGCCTGTTGCCCCAACACATTGCTCCTATGTTAATCAT